AAGCCTGTTCCCTAACTTGAATTAATAATAATAATAATAATAATAATAATAATAACAATAATAATAATAATAATAAAAAGAGAAAAAAAGAAAAAAATGGAATATTAGGAATTTAAAGAGAAGGAAATTCCTAGATTAATAAAAGTTTCACGACTTTGCAAATATTAGAACCAAAAAGTAGTAAGTAGAGTTCACTTAACGGAAGATTTTCTCGATATTGAATTCAGGGCAAATACTGGTGAAATGAGTAGTAGGTGGTTCTATGGCAAGAAACATTAACTATGTCTAGTTGGAAAGAACAATATGTGTGACTTCCAAAGAAATAGTAAATATACACATAACATAAAGATTTAAAAATTTAAATATATGGACAACAAGCATGCTAATATAAGGGAACATAAACAATGTAATTGAGTTTAATATACTGCAGATTATTAATTCAAAAGAAAAGGAAAAGCACAAGTTTTATAATACCACCAGGAAGATGTTTTGACTGTATCTTCAGGGAAACCTCCTCAGAAGCAGTTCCTGTGTGACTGAGTCTGAGAATACCATGAGCAGGCTTGTGAGACACTTCATCGGGATCCTGAGATAAAAGAGAAAACAATTAGGATTAAATACTTAGAAAGTGTAAATCAGGTCTGGATTACCTCACTTAGGATAGGTTCTAATTACACTATAAGCAGTACTCATCTGGTAACTCTTGGTTTTCATAAACCACTTGCTTCCTATTTACAACATGGTTTTTCCCAAAGGGTCCAGTTTGGGGGATCCCTGGGAATATTCTACATTATTGCTATAATATGGGCACTTTCTCCATATACTCTAACAGACAAGGCAATATCCAACACCACCTTTCTTCCACCTTTCTCCAATTCACTCACTATGTAAGATGTCAACACGAAATCCCATCCTCATATCCCTTCCTTGCTACAATGCACAGCATACATCTGAGATCTCACTTCTGCAATCTCATTACCAGTAGTAGCATCTAGGCTGCCTTTCAGCTTTATGCAGAAATTTATGTCTCAGATGGCCCAGCCACAGAGATGAATCCATGCATCCAACGAAACCTCATGCCTGACACAGCATACTGAAGACAGAAAGAATTTATAATCTAAAGTCTCACATAGATAAAATTGCGAGTATGGCTTTAGCTTACAAACCATTGTATTGTTATTACAGCATTGTACTTTCCATGATTTACCAACTATCTCCAAATAATTGTACATTTAAAACATCATGGAAATGTTTGCTATGCAATGATTGCATCATTGCACTCAAAAATCCTAGCTTCAAAATATTTGGTGGCATGGAATAATCCCTCCATACACTGTGAACAGGAAGTAGTACATGAGGTAAAGGAGCCTCAAGGCAGCACACAGATTAATAGAATTGAGTTAATTTAAATTCTGGAAGCTAGCTAAATTCAAGTGTAATCCATTAGCCAAATATTTACAATTAACTTTATGTTTCTTTCAGCTAATTGGAAATTGACTTTTGGGACAAAAATGTCTGCCTACAATATGACTTATGCCCTATAGCAAGAAAAAGAACATTGATTCCCAAAATTCAAATGTAGTATTGGGTAATGCCCACACCAGCACATGTACAACAAACAACCTTTATTTGGGGAGAAATGTAAACTGTGGCTCTCACTCCTACTTAGTATGTTCAAAAGAGAGGACCTGTTTAATTTCCCACCAAGATAAGCTCTGGGAAACAAATCAGGCTATTGTTGTTGCTTACATGGCATAATTCCTGTGGTATGAGCACTATCAACCAAATGCTATTGCAGAATGAATTTTCCTTGCAGGAATGACATTGCTTTCCTGGCAATGGTATAGATAGGGCCACCATTCCCTCATTTTCCCACCCTATATACTCTTGTCCCTCTCTGAGTCCATGTTGACTTTGAGCATAGTGGCATAAAATAGGTGGGAGGAATAGGCTGTGTAATGAGAGAACAGTCTTCTCACCCTGCCTGCTGCTCTATGTACAGGAAACATTAAGCAATCCAATATAGGATTCTCTTTCAAAACTTTAACAGCTAAACTCCACATGTCATCAGTTGTATGACTTAAAAGATACTCCAGTACAAAATAGAAATTTAGCAAATCCAAGATAACATTTAGAATTATCTGCTCACTACAACTCAGACTTAATAGATAGAGATGGTCAATTTGCCAATGGTGTGCATTAAATGACTATCATATTTATGTATGATACCATAATGAATAGTGTCTGTATTTTTCCTAGAGACAATCTGGTTCTTTATATCTACCAGAAAAGTTGAGGACATGTTTCACTCCATATTCATACACAGATTTTTTTGCCTAATACTCCACACATTCTTGATATGAATCTCCTACTACTATGACATTCACTATTATATTTCACTACACAATCATGAAGTTAAGGATTCAAGGTTATAACAAGTAGTACTTGTATAGAAAGTAAGTAGATTTTCCTCAAGTAGAGGTTAAATGCCTGGGAGAGTGAATTATATAACTGAAAGAAAAGAGTCCCAAAGTTAATTAGCATATGAATATCTATGGCATGGCATGCAGATATTTAGCAGCAAAGTCTGCCATGAAATAAAAATAAATTTTCAATTCTGGAGACACATGAGGTGTTTAAATTGGGCCAATAGCAGGCTGACAGGGTGGTGTCTACAGTGAAAAAGTAGTGTCATGAACTGTACAGTAGACACTATAGATTACACATCCCTTGTAATAATAAAACAACAACCTAAAAGAAGAATTACCCCAGGAGCTAAGAATACAGAATCTGTCTTAAGAGTCCTAAAACTTGACAACTTCCAGTTTTTCCAGAGTGCCTAAAGGTAGTGGAACCTCAGTCTAATTAGACACTCTGTTGCTTCAAGGAGCTGTTCTGAAAATGCTTCCTTTATACCATTTCAGGTTACATTTTTACTTAAGCCAGGTAGCTGTGTTGTCTCTCTACATAAAGTTTGTGTACTAAAAAAATATACCAGTGGGTAAGGAAATAGTCTAGGAGAGTATTTGCTGGCAACCATTTGGGTGACATACCACCATTACACAGCAAGACCTAAGACAATAAAAAACACAAATATTAACGTTGTAATTAAGTGCAGTAGCAAAATTACAGTTGTGAGGCACCAATACAAACAAAGTTATGAGTTGGGGGTCACAACTATATAAGAAACTATTAATGGTTTACCGTATTCCCAAAGTTGAGAACAACTGACACAGGGCATACAATAACCACAGGATTATTTGTAATAAATATGATTGAAAATGATTCATGACTTAAAAAACAACTAATAGTAATTTAACAGCATTAACTTGCATGAGTTGATCTCCCTGAAATGACTGGTAGAGACAATTGCTGAGAGAACATGCTAGATAATAAATGAAGATTGCAAGTCTAAATACTCAGTCTTAAATAGAAACATGAAAGTAATATCACAAGAACAAAGCAGCTTATATGTAAAAATATATATGTAGGTAAATGTATGCAATATCAATTAGTGAAAAGGTAGGTCATGTATTTGAAAGAATATGAATTGGTATTTGGAAGTGTTTGGTGAAAAGGAAAGGGAAAATGTAATAAAATAATCTAAAACATGAAAAATATAAAAGAGATAGGTTTTTTGATAGAAATGTTCTTTCCATGGGAGTATGGACCAGTATCTTCCCTAATACAATCTCCAATAATACAGGCTGTACAGAAGGAGGAGTAAACAAATTTTTTCTCAAGCAGTGAGAATACAATTGTAGGTGATGGAATTCTGAGGTAGGAGGATTGAATAATGAGGATGCAAATGTTACAGCTCTCTGTTCTCTGAGTGAGGGCCATTGGGTACCAGCAGGAGAGTATCAGCACAAGCCCCCATACCTTAACATCACGTTATCTCTATTTGATGACTGGAAGAAAATGAAAAATTAGATTTCTACATTGAAATATCACTGCATATACAAGGTTCTATTAAAGGCTGAGTTCACCATTAGATGACAACACAAAAAGAACTCAATGGCTTTTTTAGTTATTCTCTGTCTCACAGTGCTTCATTTTGGCTTCATATTTAACTTTATAGTTACCTAATTTATATATCATAGTTTCTGATTTTGTGTTTGAATAAAATACTGGTTGGCCAATGAAACAGCAAGTTAGGACTAGGAGTCAAAGAGGATTCTGGGAAATGTAGTAGAGAAGTGATGTTCCAGGAAGGAAGTGACATGGCAGGAGACTCATATCTAAGCGAGGAAACAGGAAATGGCTTTTTTCCCCTCTGCTCCTGCTCCATGGCCACAGTGTGATCCACCGGCAAGGAGGGATGCCATTAAGACATCCGATAAGTTAAGACCTATAAAATATATAGGTTTATGATAATTAAGACTGAGCTATCAGATGAGGAATCCTAGTCATTGGCCCAGCAGCATTGAACCTAATACAAGTTTCTTTGTATTCATTTGGGCCTAACTCGGGCAGGCGGCTGGCGTAAAGTGCATATGTGACGGTGGGGCTCAGGCAGCTTTGGCAGAAAGATATATCCGAGCATATATGGATTTGTTTATTATGGATTATTATTGTAATTATTGTTGTTGTTAGTAGCTATAATAGTAATAAAAGTAGTAGTAGCTCCTCTCTGGGTGAGGGTATGGATAAGGGAGAAAACTCATGTTCATGGAGGTGATATATAAAGTATAAACTCTACTATTGTTTCTCAGGTGCCTTTATTTCATAAAAATATTTTATTCAATATAAAGATATTGAACAGTGTCATTCTCCATATCATAACCTAATACCTTCTCCTTCACAACTACCACTATATACACGAAAACTGAGAATTATCTTCTTTGTGTTTTTGGGTGTGTGCATGTATGGGGTGTGTGTGTGTGTGTGTGTGTGTGTGTACATGCAGTTCAGGTATGAGGTGTAAAATACGAAAGACAAATCTTTTTAAATTCTTCTATTGCCTCCATTTCTCCTTAAAAATGTTTATATATATATATATATATATATATATATATATATATATATATATGGCATAATTTTAAAAAGCCTATCCCATACCCTTGTCTATATTCCTCCCCTAGCCACACTAACAATATTCTATGCCAACTTTGAGGACTCTCTGTATCTGTCTCTCTGCATGTGGGCATATATGAGCTTCTGCACACACACACACACACACACACACACACACGTGTTTGTGTGTATGAACATGTGGGCATGCCTGCATGTCTGTGTGTGTATGTGGGGGATATATCCGCTGCTTTTATTTTTGAGAGTATATTTATAACTACGTGTCTCCCTGACAATTCCTTTTTAAAATACTCACAAATACCACTATACACTCTTGTTCAAAGATGAACACATTTTATAATAATCATTATTGGATGCAAGTATGTATAGGAATACAGATATTTTCTTAATTATACCCTGATACATCTGCGAATGGTACCTGCATGTATTTTTCAAAGCAGACATCTGGGTAGTTGACATAAATTGGTGTCCACATCTCAAAGAATGACATCTTCATTTTCTAGTTTTCCTCAGTTACACATACAACATATTGTAGTGTTGAATCAATGTCAGCTTTTATTTGTCCAGTTTGGCATGTTTATTTGTACTGCCTTTATTCAGGTGATTTTTGGCCAGTCATTTTGCTAAGACTCTATTGGAAGAGTCTGCTGAATGATTCAGCAGATTCCTTTACACATAATTACATAAAAGCCACTACTAAAATTAATAAATAAAATACCATGAGGAAGTTTTTCTGCAACTCTAGAAATTTCAGTGTTAAGTAATCTTTGATGATCATTACCACAGACACCTATAATTATTGCTACATGACTCCATCAGGATCCAGATGTCAGGATGCTAGACTGTGCTCTGTATTATTGGTCTAAACTGTGCCCACTTATATTTTGGCCTCAATGCTTATAAAGAATACTAACTGAAATTTGCATTTTTTCTTTTATCCAATATAGCTGATGTATAGGAAGCCTTTGCCAAAATGTCAGCCTCACCATGCTTTCTGCTACAGTACTTACCTGACACCAGAATTATCTCTCAGAGCTGAATCTCGTCATGAGTGACATTTCTCTGTAAACACTGAAGGAGCCAGGATTCCTCTGCAGCGGCTTGCTGATACTTCTGTTACTGATGTAGCATTCCCAGGTAGAAATCAGTCATACAGGTGTCAAGCATACCTGCCACCAAGGAGAAAAAGACTGTTAACCTGTGATTTCTCAAATTATTGTGATTGCCCAGGTGACCTCATCTTGGTGATAACCTTCCCCACACTCTCTATTGTCTATGCCTCTTTAAGGAAGCCTCCTGCTCTCTTACAAAGACAAACCAAAGGACAAAAGAAAACCACTTTTGAGTTGTTTGCAAGTGGAGACCAAGAAACTAACAAAGGAGTACAGTCTATTACCATCACACTTGGTTGACTCCAATAAGTGACAGGTAAATTCCCACTGTAGAAATCACTGCATTGATTTGGATCAAGGAGAATTTGAACTTGAATACATAAAACTTTATTCCTGAGAACTAGCTTTCAGAGACCAGGAAGGGAGGAAAGTGCTAAATTCTCCAGCCTAGTTATAATGCCATTTCCAACATGGCAAGATAACATTAAAGATAAACTAGTGGCTCTTATAGCTTATCCAGAACTATTAGTTACTTGATGGCATCCAGGTCATGCCTAACAAAAAAAAATTCATGCCTCATAATGTAAAACAGCAAAGGTCATGTGAGGAATGACCCCATAAAAATTAGAGGAAATTAACACTATTTCCATAAACCATTATAATTCCTAACTGTATTGCAACTCTATCCTTATACACAAAGAACATTATTGACCTAAGAACACTAATGGGATTCAGCAGATTCTGTTGATATTTATATATGATTCTCTATGTGTGTGCGTGCATGCGTGCGTGCGTGTGTGTGTGTGTGTGTGTGTGTGTGTGTGTGTGTGTGTGTGTGTGTGTTTGTTCATGGTTTCTGTGTATAATCAACAATAATAATGAAGAGGAATGATGAATACACAGAAAGGGTGTTAGGAACAGAGATGTGGAAATTATATATACACTAGTCTTCTACAAAGTAGTTAATTTCTTACAATAAAAAAACAGGAAGGGGTCTTAGAAAGGATGGATTCAGCAGAGAGTAGGAAGAGATGAAGAACTGGCATGAAATGAAGAAAACTTTTTGTACAAATGTATGAAAATTATATTAATACAGATTAATGCAAGATGAGAAAAGATTCAACAGATCAGGTCAGGTATGCAGTTGGAATTTCATGAAATTAAGTGGAAGGTAATACCTATAATCCTAAAAGGTGGAGTGATTCCCCAATAGTTTCAAAGGAATATATTCTAATGAATGCTACTTCTTAGTACATTTACTGGAGACTGTGCTCAGGGTAATTACTGGAGAAAATGAAGGGCAGGTGTTTCTATGGCATGAAATATAAACTACATATAGGTGGAAAAAACATCATGGGATTTCTACAGAAATATTATGATATGTACAAAAATTATGGAGTTAAAACAATGGTGAGAATTAAGGTAATACACAAAAAAACAAAAATGTAATTGAGTTTTACACACAGGAAAGAAACAGTGAAATATAAAAGGAAGAAAGCCCCACAAAATACAATACCACCAGGTTGGTGTAGTGACTGTATCTTCAGTGAAAACTTCTCAGGAGAAGGCAGAAAAGGACGTCCTCAGTGGCTGTGTCGGATCATGATGAGCAGAGTGATGAGATCATGTGTCAACATCATAGAAGGAAAAAGAACATGTTTAAGAACAAATAGTAATGTGCTCACTCATATAGGGATTTTAGATATAGAGCATCAGTATACCAGCCTACAATACACATGGCCAGAAGAGCTACAAAATAAAGTGGACGCTAAAGGAGACATACATGGTTTTCCCGAGTTAATCAGGAGGATGGCAGGAGGGGAGAGGTAGTTAGGAAAAGAGAAGCAGAAAAGTGAAGGGGAGAGGAGGTCATGAGAGAGCAGGAAGATTTGGTCATGGAATGAATAGAGGAGAGCTAAAAAACAGACACCATATTTGAGGGAGAAATTGTAGGTTTGAAGAGAAATATGTCCAGAGATCTACAAGTGACCCAAACTAACAATCTAAGCAATAGTGGAGTGGCTATATGAAATGCCCTTCTCCAATATTGAGATTGAAGAGTACCTTATATGCCCTCCTAGAGCCTTCTACCTGTAGCTGATGAGGCACAAGCAGAAACCCACAGCTAAACAATGAGCTGATCTCCTGGAATACAGTTTCAGAGAGGGAGGAGTGATGAGCAAACAGGTTAAGACCAGGCTGGTGAAAAACACAGAAACAGGTAACCTGAACAAGGGGAAGCTCACGGTCCTAAGACTGATAGCTGAAAAACCAGTGTAACACAGTTCCAGACACCATGTTCCTAGATGTCAGTTTGGAGTTCTGGGGAATCTTGGGGCCTCTGGTAGTGGATCAGTATTTATCCCTAGTATACAAATAGGCTATGGGAGCCCACTCCACATATAGGGATACTCTCTCAGACTAGACAAATGGGGGAGGGTCTAGGCCCTGTTCCATATGATATGACAGACTCTGAAGATCCCCAATGGAATCACCCTCCCTGTAGAGCAGAAAGGGGATGAGATAGGGAGTAGGTGAGGAGCAGGTATGGAGGGGAGGGAGAGAGAACTGGGTTGACATGTAAAACAAGCTTGTTTCTAATTTAAATTTTAAAAAACAAAAACAAATAGTAATTACAATATGCGTGTGTATGTGTGTGTGTGTGTGTGTACAAGCAGTAAATAAATTTCATATGATTAGTAAGATCAAAATGAGGATTAATAAATACCAAATATCTAGACAAATTGTGTGAATATTAATATAATTCCATATTTGCAAGTAATGTACAGATTACAGATGCTGTATATACTGATGTTCACATAGGTTCCCTTCCTTTGTCCTAATGATCAACATAACTATAAAATATATACAGAACCAGAGTCAATCTGGTATCAATGAAATTATATTGAAAATAAGAACAAATTCACTGAAATTCCAATCCATTTCTTGTTTGCAAACTTACTAAAATTGACAACATGCACAAACACACACACACACACACACACACACACACACACACACACACAAACACACACACTCATATAAATACAAAATTATTTGAGAAAAGTGGTGGGTTCAAAATTATCATATACTTGTTATTATTATTTAACTCATATTACAAATGCCAAAAGGCATACTATGTAAAAGGTTCTCCAAACTTCTAGGACAAGTCAATACCACATGAAAATAGACTTTTCATTCACATAACACCTATATTTGATTATATATTTATTTATATATTTGGAAGTGGTAGGTGCATATAGTTTTGTGTACAAGTAATGAAGGCCGTAGCCTAACTAAGAAAGTGGAACGTGCATAGGGTGGCAGACAGGTGATAGGTTGGGGGAGTTTTAGGGGAGTGGAGGGAGAGGGAGACATGTGAAGCAAGCTTGTTCCTAATCTAATAAAAAAAAATACACAAAAAATGGTCCAATATATTTATGGTACCTTTTAAGGACAATGACCAGCATGGATCGATATAACTAATGGTGAACTCCTGGCTCATTTATCTTACAATATCTAGTATCTACATAACTGAACCCAAGTCCTGCTTAAAACAGGTAAATCA